GCTCTCGTCGAGGCGGTCGTCTGGGTATGCCGCACGTCTTGATCGGACCTTCGGTTAGTTCTGTACAACCAAATATATTTCATCTCACTTTACCCAAAGGTCTTCTACTGTATATCTCAAACACCTCTTAATCTTGTACCAGTGGAATAACAAGAAGAAGATAAAACTCGAATGAGAACTGAGAGAGAGAAGAGAGGCGTGGGGCGTGTTTCAGAAGATGTGGAATTCTCTTCTCTTCCCATGAGCTTAATGATGGATATATGGAGCTACAGTAGGGATCCTTAGGAGATTAGGATTAGGGTCCTTAATTAATTAAAATACTTGTGGACCAAGCCATTTATTTTAATTAATTAAATAATATTAAATGGGCCACCAACATAATATTATTGCACTCCCTTTTCCTAGCCCAATTTACAATTGAGACTCCAATAATAATTACTCGATTTATCTCACCATGTTTTAGATATAATGTCCATTAATTAATTCGAGTATTGACAATCAAGAATTAATTAATTTATTATTATTTCACCGAAGCTAGCGCTCGTTCATCACATTATTACTATGCCGGAATTTAATCCACCTGCAGGGTTTAGCATAATAATCCTTCATGAACTCACTCCGGGGACATCATCAAACTAACGCACATGGTGACCGTAAATATCCTAACATCACATCCTACATGTAGCAATATTACCCAAGACAGCGGGTCAGTTCACTAAGCCTCGCCCATGTGAATCAAAGTAATAAATACTACACATATATGTCTGTTTAATATCTTACGGGTTAAGAGTACGCAGTAATTAACCGAAGCCTAGTTCATTTACGACAATTAGTACAAAAATAACTGCTCCTCTCTGGGATCCTGTTCAATACATAAATGTACTAGTGAAACTAATCAGTCAAGACAAACTTACAGTTGACACTACAACCGTTCCCGATGGGGTGTTCATGTCCATCTGCATTGTGAACCACTTATTCTTGTTTCGCGAGTAACTGATAGCACGATCTTCGATTGGCCCAATGACGACCCACACTATCTAATGCAAAACAACAGAACGTAGAACTTTTTTAATCTAACATGTTTCTCATTCATAAAGGGTAAAAGTGTAATATCATACAAAGCTAAGCTTTCAGTATATAACACTAACAATCTCCAACTTATACTTAAAGCTTTCTCTTTTACAAGTATAGTACTATCAATCCGTTATTCTAAAAGACATATGTCGTGTAACATCCCACTTTGATTTTACAGAAATTTCGAATATTCCAAAAACCAGTATAGAATTTTCA